GGAAAACCAGAGACCGCAACCACTGACCCAGTGTCAACACCTAGGGTTGTTCCTGGACTGGGTGAGTTAAGAGAACCAGAGGATCTCTATGAGAGGAGTTTGAGGCCCACTGGACACCCATCCAGGATGCAGACAGGCAGTAGCCAGTGGATGACTGTTGCCAGATTTAGAAGCCCTGACTCATGATGCAGGTTTTGTCTGTGAACCGGAGGGAGGGGGGGAATCCTACACTGAGCAGGGCTTATGATCAAATTCCTGTTGTAAATGTTGAAATTTTGATGTCTGAGGCAGTGGTTCCATTTCATAATCTGTGAAGTATGCCTATAGCAAGTTGAATGCAATAAACAGACTGAGGAGGTAAAGATCCAGTTATTGGTACCTCCGTTATACAACCGGGCACTCCTACAGCTAGCTCATGACATCCTATCTGATGGGCACTTTGGACAAGGTTTTCTCCCGGTCTATGTATTGACTCATTTCTGCTGGCCCACTGACCACCATTAGCTCAGAGAATACTGGGTCTCTTGTCCATAGTACCATTTAACTACCCCAAAGGCTCCTTTGATCTCATTCCCCCGATCAAAACTCCCTTAAGGCAAATCAAGACTGATCCTGTAAAACTCCTAGAGTAAAGTGTGGTGGGCAAAGAACTCTTGCTTGTGATCCTGGCCATCCCCACTACACTACACAAAGGCAACAGCACTTGCCCTGGAACTTTGAGCAAGGATTCCCCCCCCCCCCCCAAAAAAAAATACTGACCAATCAAGGGACCAACTTTTCATCCCACTTAATGGAGGACTTATGCTCCCTGTTGAAGATCAAGTCTCCAAAGACTTATGTCTACCATCCGCAAACAGATGGATTAGTTGAGAGATTCAACAAAACCCTTAAAGTGATGCTAAAAAACAATTTCTGTCCTCTGATCCCAAGTATTGGGACCAATTACCCAGTACGTCCTCCCTTCTTGTTTGTCATAAGGGAGGTACCCCAAGGTTCCACTGCATTCTCTCCCTTTGGTCTGTTTATACAGGTGACAGCCTTGAGGAATATTTGACCTCCTATATGAGGGCTGGGAACACCATGGCCAGATGATATCCAGTATGGCCCAGTATGTTCTCCATGTCAGGGAGTGCCTCGAGTCTGGGAGTTTTGCTTGTGAAAACCTGTTGGGGGGAGGGGGGAGCTTGCAAGAACAAACATAACCAGGATGCATGCCTACTGACCTTCCAACCTGGGTAATGAGTACTTTTGCTACTCCCTAGCATGGAATCCATAGTGCTAGCCAGGTGGCAAGAGCCTTTTGAAGTGGTTTTTCAGTTAGCCTTGTGGACTACAAAGTCTGCCTGCCTGGCAGGAGGGAAGAAACCAGTGTTTCCCGTGTGAACCTGCATAAGCCTTGGAAAACCAGGGAAGGGATGTTTAATGCTTCTCACCTACCAGAACCCAAACTGGGGTTTCAAGCCCCCGTTTACCAAGAGTCTGCACAAGTGCAGATGGGTGCCAGTTTCCTAAACAAAGAGCCTAGGTTTTACATCTCGTTGAGGCCTTCTGCAATGTATTCTCCACTGCACCCAGATGGAATTGACTAATACACCACCATATCAAGACAACATACCCTATGCCACAAGTGGATGAGCTGTTGAAACATTTAGGAGCTGCCAGGTATCTCACTACGTAGATTTTACTTCGCTGCTGAATCACAAGGAAAAACAGCCTTCCTGATACCCCTTAGGGTCTTCCACTTCCAGACAGTGCTTTTTGGCTTGCATGGAACAGCTGCAACATTTAATGGACAAGGTTCTCAGACCTCATCAGCAGTATGCCATTGCATATTTGGACAATATATATAGCAACAACTGAGATGATTATGTGCGGCAAGTACAAGCTGTTTTTCAGTTGCTGGCTGAGGGGTGAGGGCTCACGGCCAATCTGGCCAATCAAGAAGTTAGTTACTTGGGTCATAATGAGGGAGGAAGCCAGCCTGAGCCATTGATTATTATAGTGTAGGCATTGTCAGCATGTTCCATTCTCTAAACAAAGAAAGAGGTAAGATGCTTTCTTGAACTAGCTAGGTGATTTGTCCCTGGCTTTTACCACTATCGGGACCCCTCTGATGGATCTAATAAAAGGTGGTAGTCCAAAGAAAGTCCACCAGAAAGACAACTGTTAGAAGACTTATAACACCCTGAAAAAACAGTTTTTACAAAAGCCAGTTCTCTTCACTCCATAGCACATAGCAGCCTATGGAGAATTTCAGCTCAAAGAAATTTAAGAAAGCTATGCATAACTGAAAAAGGTATTTTGGAAGTTAAACTAAACTATAGTGATAATCTGTAGAAAGAAAGCTGCTGTATGGATGTCATTACAGGTTGAATAAGAATATCTGGTTTTATGATGTACGCAGATATTCACTGTGAATTAAAACATTAAACCCAGTTTCATTTATGCTGTAACTAGGATTTCAGTTGTCTTCCCAGTTGATGAGTAATTCATTAACCCACAATACTACTAGCTCCCAGTATTCATTCAAATGTTAAACATAATGCTTGATATATTATGGCACAAATGAGCCAGAGTATAATGGGATATATTGGGCTCTTCTAGAGTCCAATTTATTTTGTGCTAGCTCTGAGGTTGATTTGCAGCATTCAGGTCTCTTAAAACATTATTTTGAAAGAACAAAATCCTTTTTTGATTTAAATTACATGTTTAATTATCTCGTTGACAAAACTGTCACAGTAATCTTGCTGGATCAAAGATGACGTTTAGCACTTGTGACAATACCTTTGGGCAGTGGCTTTCAAGTTGTGCTCTGCAAAGCACTTTTAGATGGTCTTGTGAGCTGTGTGTGTACCTGCTTTAACTGCTGTGACAGCTGAAGCAAGAAGTGGTCCTATTGTTCTTGAAAGTTTTAGTTACTCAGGCCTTGTCTACACTGGCACTTTACAGCACTACAACTCTCTCCCAGCGCTGGTGCCACGACTGGTGCCGCAGCGAGTGGGGACATGCCCTCACTTGTCTGTTCAAGCAGCGCTCCTGTGTGCCTGTGCTTGTTTGGGTTAATGAACAGATATTAAAATCCTGATAATAAGCAAAACTTCCTGTCTGGTGAGTATATTAAAAATACCAAAATACAAATATCTGGATGGATGGAACCAAGCTGCCAAGTGACCCATAACAGAGGAATTGCCATATTGGATCAGATCAGTGGTCAGTATCAACTGCTTTTGAGGAATCAAATGTCTGGAATAACCTGTGCACAGAAGAAGTTTCCTCCTAATAAATCCCTTCCAAAACTTTTTTTGGGAGGGCAGGGGGGTGGATGAGGGGGAGAGAATGTCCACATTTATTCTGTTATAACCTGGGAAGATCACAGCATTGTGACTATAGGCAGTGAAAGGAAGTTAGTGAATTCCTACTCCTGGTGAGAAACAAGCAGATACAGTGGGTGGAGGGCATCACATTAAAGTAAACTTATTTTATCTTGTGCTCATCTAATATTTATGTAACTTAATGTTATAGTTGACATAGGGCAGCGCTGGCAAGGCAGCTGTTCCTGAGAGGGTCTCTATCTTAAGTGGTCCAGCATATAAAAATTGAGAATTTCTGCTTTTGGAATTCAACCTTTAGTCTCTCCTTTAAGAATCGCAAATCTGCCTTAAATCAATTTTTTTAAATTAGCACAACTTCTGAGCATCTTCTGCATATAATGGAAATTTGTTATATTTATATGATATTTATTTGGATAATATTGCACAGAATTTTTTAAATCCTTCACCTGAGGATTGATGAAGAGATTCCTCTCCTTGAAGAGACTTCCCATTACTTTCAAGAGGATTTGGATCAAGTCCTTAGTAAGATGCAAACCAACAGAACACACACAACCTAACAAAATACAAATTTTAAAAATATTTGTGCATCATAATTATTTTATGATGAAACCCTCTGGCTCAAACATTGAATAATTCTCAGATGATAAACCACTACTAGATTTGGGCCAAATAATCTAGTGATGTAAATTGGCATAGCTCCTTTGCAATCAGCAGAGCTATGCCAGTTTACACCAGCAGAAAATAGGGCCTTCTGTCTTCCAGTTTCTCTCTTACTGGTTTGCAGTTCATTTAAACATTCCAGACTTCTTCTGTTGTACTCTTTGCTTTGAAAATCTGAAGTTTTTGCAGATCTGTCCATTAATGCTGAATGACTAAATAAAACAAAGCCATGACATTCATCATCCAAGACCACTGTTTTTTAAACATTATTTGGCGGGGTGAGGGGTTTGTTTCCATTTTCCAGAGAATGGCTTCCATAGCGTATATATCTTTACTCTTGACCGGAGATGTTAACTCCCTCCCCTAAAATGTAAACCCAAGAGTAGGATACATCTCTTCATTTTTAAGGAGGAATGAGGTGCCCAGTGGGGAATTGCTCAATGAGGTGGAGAGCTTTTTCTTTTTCGTTGTTAAAAGATGTGCCCTCTGGCAAGGAATCACTCTGGCAGAATGAGTTACAGCCACTATTTTTTGTCAGTTTATTTAATTTTAATGTGGGGATCTTATGATTTACAGATAGCTTTTTCCTAACTCACCTGAAAAGACTATTTGCAGGTAGCTAAAAATTAAATGGCACACTATGGATTATGCATTTTCCCCTGAAGTTCTCTGTTCTGTAATGGGTGTAGAGCATACAAGTAGTAAAGCTAAGTTTATAGGCAAAAGAATCTACAGTTGAAAAATAGCTAATATTTTTGTAACAGATTTTTTTTTTCAATATGAATAAACACAGTTTGTAACCTTTTCTGTTTTGGGGTTTAAGAGAAGTTAAATTGGGTTGTAGGCAAAACTGTAGTTAGCTTAACACTGTTAAATTGCAGTTGAAATAGTTGTTACTAGATCTTGCTGATTGGTTATTATGAATTAATATTATTGATAAACTCTTGTATAAGGTGATCATCTTCTAATGTTTAATTTTTGGGGGATTAACACAATGCTATTTTACAGATGGCAGAAGATCTTTGTGATTCCAGTATGGAATAAAATAGCAAATTATTGGAATAAGGCATTCCTAACAATAATCGTTCTACTGATTGTTTTGTTTCTTGGTAAGTAGTAAATCTTTCTTCTTGTGTGTTGAAAATTGCTTAGAGGGTACACAGGGTCCATGGGCAATAGATAAACAGAGTACAAACTGAACATGACTAGAAACATTTTTGATATTCTTTAAATTTCAGTTCAAACACTTTTTTGGAGGTGGTACATTTAAACTTTTGTGTGCAGACTTAGTAACACATACACAATAGTACAGTATTGTGATGATGCAGGAGAACAAATGGAACTTCAGCCAGACCACTTGTTGTCATGCCATCAGAAATTACAAGCCAAGTATGATTAAGATACGTAAGTCATTGGATGGTAGATTTCCAAGGAACGCTTAAGTGCTGGTAGGAAGATGCTTCAGTAGGTGGCACTCTTTCTCTGGACTAAAAGAAAAGGAGGACTTGTGGCACCTTAGAGACTAACAAATTTATTTGAGCGTAAGCTTTCGTGAGCTACAGCTCACTTCATCGGATGCATCGATGCATCCGATGAAGTGAGCTGTAGCTCACGAAAGCTTACGCTCAAATAAATTTGTTAGTCTCTAAGGTGCCACAAGTCCTCCTTTTCTTTTTGCGGATACAGACTAACACAGCTGCTACTCTGAAACCTTTCTCTGGACTGACATTGAAATAATGTCCCAGAACGATGGGGAAAAGGCAGTGTTCTGTTGGAGGTGCTTTTTCTCAGACTAGGCATAAAACTGAGATGCTGGCCACAGCTGGTTTTGAGGGGGAAAAGAACATTGGAACCTTAGAATAGCATCAAAGTCTAGTGAAATCTGAGCTTGGGCAATAACATTCTGCCTGGCTAAATTCATTGTACTTCTGTCACAAATTACTCTGCGGGGTTTCTGTGTGCTGATGAACATCTACTGTCTTTGGTGATGGAAGTGATTCTTTTGCATGAGAAGGAGAGGAGATAAGTTAGTAAAATGCTTTGAGGTGAAAAATGTTATGTAATTCTAAATGACTTTAAACAAAGTGAAACTGACTAGATTCACTGTCTAGGATGAATGAAAGAAATGCAAGAAGTAAACTTCAAAAAGAAAACTAGACTGGAAAATGTTCTTTTTAATAAACTAACTTGTAGTAATGCAAGTACAGACATCTAAAATATAAATAATATTTAAGTGCCTATTCTAGAAGACCTCCAGTAACCTTAACTAGATATTGTGGAGAATGTCAATACAATAGAAAAAATAGAAAAGTGGTGGATTTTTATTTTCCTCCCTGAGCTCCAACTGGAAAGATTGTGAGTAAAGTTTGGTCAAACTTTTTGTTAAGGAAAAGCAGAGTTGAGCTGAAATTAAATATGGGGTATCCTTGTGAAACTGTAATACAGCTGTCTTAAGGCAAGGCCTGAACATTCCCATGGCATAAAAGGATGGAAATTGGTTTGATCTTTTCAGTTTGAATACATTCAATATAAAGTTTAACTCCAGAACTTCTTACAAGTTATGTGCATGTAGAAAAAGAAGGTTGTTATAATGGTAGCTTGTATTTAGTGACATGCAGATGCTTTGCTGTAAAGTGAAATGCAGCAGCAGATTAACAACACACAGTGTTGATACTTCAGAGTTTTAGGACAGGAAGTGAAAGGTACCTTTACCTTGGAAGTGTGATATGTTAGGTAATCAGAATTTGATACTTGAAATCAGACTGGGAAACTAGGATTAATACCTTACTCTTTAAAAAAGTGGGTTTTATGATGACCCCGAGTTTTGTCTCCAAAAGATGGCGAATCCAGCAGCAAATCATCACATAACACGATGATGAGGGAATTGGTTCAATAATGCATTGGAGGGAAGAATGTAACTTGCTGAATTGCCAGCATCATCCCCTACACTGTCTATGTGCTCCCGGGAGGTCTCCCATTCCAATATTAATTTAGCCCAACCTGGCTTAATGCTTATGTACACTTGAGATGCCACATCAGCACAGCTGCAATGATTTACTGTAGACAGTACCTCTGATGATGGGAGGGGTTCTCCCATTGGTAATAAACAGTGCTAATAAACAATGGTCACATAAACACCACCCAATACCGGAAACCTACTGACCGCTATTCCTACCTGCATGCCTCCAGCTTTCACCCTGACCACACCACACAATCCATCGTCTACAGCCAAGCTCTGCGATACAACCGCATTTGCTCCAACCCCTCAGACAGAGACAAACACCTACAAGATCTCTGTCAAGCTTTCTTACAACTACAATACCCACCTGCGGAAGTAAAGAAACAGATTGATAGAGCCAGAAGAGTTCCCAGAAGTCACCTACTACAGGACAGGCCTAACAAAGAAAATAACAGAACGCCACTAGCCGTCACCTTCAGCCCCCAACTAAAACCCCTCCAACGCATTATTAAGGATCTACAACCTATCCTAAAGGATGACCCAACACTCTCACAAATCTTGGGAGACAGGCCAGTCCTTGCCTACAGACAGCCCCACAACCTGAAGCAAATACTCACCATCAACCACATACCACACAACAGAACCACTAACCCAGGAACTTATCCTTGCAACAAAGCCCGTTGCCAACTGTGCCCACATATCTATTCAGGGGACACCATCACAGGGCCTAATAACATCAGCCACGCTATCAGAGGCTCGTTCACCTGCACATCCACCAATGTGATATATGCCATCATGTGCCAGCAATGCCCCTCTGCCATTTACATTGGTCAAACTGGACAGTCTCTACGTAAAAGAATAAATGGACACAAATCAGATGTCAAGAATTATAACATTCATAAACCAGTCGGAGAACACTTCAGTCTCTCTGGTCACGCAATCACAGACCTGAAGGTCGCTATCTTAAAACAAAAAAACTTCAAATCCAGACTCCAGCGAGAAACTGCTGAATTGGAATTCATTTGCAAATTGGATACTATTAATTTAGGCTTAAATAGAGACTGGGAGTGGCTATTTCCCCTTGTTTTTTCCTACCCCCCCCCCCCCCAGATGTTCTGGTTTAACTTGGATTTAAACTTGGAGAGTGGTCAGTTTGGATGAGCTATTACCAGCAGGAGAGTGAGTTTGTGTGTGTATGGGGGTGGGGGGGTGAGAGAACCTGGATTTGTGCTGGAAATGGCCCACCTTGATTACCATGCACATTGTAGGGAAAGTGGTCACTTTGGATGAGCTATTACCAGCAGGATAGTGAGTTTGTGTGTGTGGTTTTTGGGAGGGGGGTGAGGGGGTGAGAGAACCTGGATTTGTGCAGGAAATGGCCCAACTTGATTATCATGCACATTGTGTAGAGAGTTGTCACTTTGGATGGGCTATCACCAGCAGGAGAGTGAATTTGTGTGGGGGGTGGAGGGTGAGAAAACCTGGATTTGTGCTGGAAATGGCCCAACTTGATGATCACTTTAGATAAGCTATTACCAGCAGGACAGTGGGGTGGGAGGAGGTATTGTTTCATATTCTCTGTGTGTGTATATAAAGTCTGCTGCAGTTTCCACGGTATGCATCCGATGAAGTGAGCTGTAGCTCACGAAAGCTCATGCTCAAATAAATTGGTTAGTCTCTAAGGTGCCACAAGTACTCCTTTTCTTTTTGCGAATACAGACTAACACGGCTGTTACTCTAAACCATTGGTATCAGTAATCCACCTCCCCTAGAGGCAGTAGTAGGTCAAGGGAAGAAGTCCTCCTCAACCTAGCACTGTCTACAAGGGGACTTAGGTCACCTTCACGAAATCACTCAGTGGTGTATATTTTTCACACCCCTGAGTGACTGAGCTGGGTCGATCTAATTTTCTTGCATAGACCAGCTCTTAGTTTCAGATGCTGCTGATTGCAGCCAAGGCTGTTGGCCACTTACGTTTCATAGGAAAAGATGGTAAATTAACATACTTCGCTCACACTGTATTTAGACACTATTTACAATAGTACAACTCATCTGAAAGGATTTTTTGTATACGTTAGTGAATGTGAATAAATTTCATTATGTTTGATTGGGCTCCAGTAAATACTTTTTTCATAGTTACAGTGTAAAGGAAATATAAACATTGCTTCTGTCTGATCAAATCTTAATTTGAACCATATATGCAACATCTACTTAGCAAGAGAAATCCTTAGGGAATGGGAGGGAGATCCGTTTTTGCTTTTCTCACTGCTCGCTAAGCAGCTGGAATCTGGTCTGCGTTGGCAGTATCAGAAGTCATTACCATCTGATGTGACTCTGCTAGTGTTTGTGGAATGATTTTTTTGCCTTGGTCCAGTTCCTAATGGGCAGGTACAAAAGATACCATCATAGCTGGTACTATTGTATCTAGTCAGAGGACCGTGATCTAGCATGGTGACTGAACTACCTAATCACTCCACAATGATTCCTTCCGGTGGGTCAGGCACATTTCAAGGGTCGTTGAAGTTGGTACTGCCACTAAAGGGATTTTGCTTCTTTTGTGGACTGAAGAGACTGCATATATTTCTAGAGCTCTGTCTTACACAGTAGCCTAATACACTGAGCCACAAACGCACATTAAAAAACAAGACAAAACAATTTTTGTTTTTGTTTTCAGATGCTATTAGAGAAGTGAAGAAATACTCAACTGCACATGGGACCGAAAAGGCTGCAAATATCAACCCCAATGCCTATGATCATATTCAGATGAAACTTTTTAGGTCACAAAGAAACCTTTACATCTCTGGATTCTCTCTGTTTCTCTGGCTGTAAGTATAAAATTTACTATTCCAATTTGTGGACAGTGTCTCTCGTACAATAAATACTGTACAAGGCAGTAACAAGAAGATCAGAAAGCTGGATGGACAGATTTATAAGAAAAGATTGAAAGAGCTAAATAGGGATGGCTTGGCTAAGATAATATAAATGCTAAAAGTGAAAAGGAATTACTGAATGTAATATACACAGATATAACTAGAAAAGGAAAATTTGGGGTGACCATTAGGAGAAACATCTCAGTCAAGCAGTTATTTGGCAGCAGGTATTTCCATGGGGAAGTTGTAGGAGCCCAATCTTGAGACTTTAAATCTAGACTAGATAGGATAATAGAAAATGTATTTTAGGGAACAGACTTGGACTTGCAGTACGATGGGACTAGATAATCTAGTTCTTTTTAATCTCTCTGACTTCTATAACTGTTGATTTCCTTCTTGGAATTTGTCAGTTATGAGTATTTTTTTTTAACTGCAGATTTGCAGTAAATAAGTTACAGCACCATTAAAATAATTCTAGTAGTCAGCATGTTGGTATTGAGAACCTAGGCTCAACTCTAACTTGACTGTTTCACTGAAACTCAGCAAGAGCTTGGATCTTTAGGAGCAATATTCCCAGCCTCCAAGACAGACTGCATATGCTAGGCTATTGAGCACTTTCTGAGAGATGGCTAACCACTATATCCTTTTCAGCAGGTTTAAGTGGTTATGCAGCTAATAACACAGATCAGTGTAAATTTCTGAGTGAATGTTTGTGTTAACAATAGTAGCTAGCCCATTTATGTTAAGGAAAGATGGGCAGAGCCTACTTAGAATTAAAGACCCACCCACTAAATCAAGGGAGGGGGCCATAGGACCAAGGATCAACTAATTCCATGAAACAAATAATGAAAAGAACAGGAGTGCCTGTCCTTGATTTAAAACAAAGGCAACAGATGGGGACATTGAGTAGTGAATCTAGTCAGTGCCCACTACTCAGTTAAAGCAGTCAAAGGAGTTGACATATGCCACCGAGAGGAACTCTGCCCAAATACCTGAGACACATAGGTACCAAAAGTAGGCATCACAGTTAGAGAGAACCTCTTTGTCAAGCTGCTTCTTCCTGGACTGATGTATGGCTCTTGGCCAGTGCCGGTAGGAAGTTGACTGAAAGGTCCTGTTACATCATCAGGTCATAGACAAGGAGTTAATAAAGAAGATATGGAGAAAGGTGCAGCCAGAATCTCAGCAGGAGGTTGTGGAAGAGCCAGAAGAGAGGCTGCAACCTGGTCTGCGGAAGTAGGCATGGTCTAGGGTCTCGCGGGGGACAAATACTGCGTTCCATGAACTGTGCCCGCAGAACGCCTGTGCTCACTGCTCCATGGAGGAGCCCCCAGATTAAGTCCTCAGTGGACCATGGAACCAAGGTGGAATGAAAGCTGGTGCACTGGGAACCTCACCCTCTGCAGGAGGTAAAAGGTCTGACCACTTTGTATCAGGGTGAGACATGCTAGTGAGGAAGTGGATGGTGTGAAGAAAGCATAAGCTGTTCTCGAGTTACTGTTCAGAGGTGGATTGCCTGGATATCGTTCCCCCTACTCAAGTGGGGCATGGAGGTGAGGGAGAGGCCCAATTTCTGAAGTCTGAACAGTCCTGGGATAGCGATGGGCATGGAGAACCTTCTCACAGCACGAATTTGAGATAAGCAAGAGAGGCAGGGAGCAAAGCAGCCTTCACCTCTGGAACCTTGTGGGGACATAGCGGGTTGACAGCCTCATGCACTGGACAAGCAGTGTTGGATCCACCAGTCCCACCGAGCACAGTCCAGGAAGTCTCAGATTCTGATGACATTAGTCAGGCTGGTCCTTCAGCGCACCAGGGGAACCATATTCACCTATGAATGAAGATGAGAGTTGTGCAGCAGGGGCTTGAGGAAGATGCCTCTCCCCATCTCCACAGCGGCCACAATGCACTTCTTTGCAGAGCTTCCAAGTTCTGAGAAGGTCCTGGTAAAAATAACAGTACCTCAGAGAGATCTTGGGTTAGAGACCCACCCCCAAGGTGGTTATGAAAGCTTCCACAATTGTTGCTAAGTTGATAGCTCTACAGACTGAAATATTTTCTTTCAATTGAAAACTCTTATTTTAACCTGTAGAACAGATAGAACACAAGTCACAATAGCACAATCTCATTACCTCGTCTTGCTTCTACCCTGCCCTGGAGGGACCACATCTAAGGATGAAAGGATGGTTAATTGTTCATGATTCCTTGGCCTCTGTGCTAGGACTATCAACAAGGGGCTCAACTTAATTTTTTGGGCCCAACTTGGTTTTTTACATTAATTTATTTCAACTCATGAAGCTCTGTAGGTGCCTGTTTCATGATTTGGGAGCCCATTATCTCATTTTTATATACACAATAGTAAACATGATAGAATATAATCTTATCTCTGCCACCTGAATATGAATGGGATGTATAGTAAAAAAGTGAGTGCGATACAACAAACTCATTCAACTAAACCTGTCCATCTCAAAAAGTAAGAGGAAGTGGGAAAAGATGAACTCTACTGCATGCCTAAGTGTATGTCTACGCTACAAACTTTAAGTTGACATCCAGCTGCCACAATAATTAAGTCAGAAGTGCATTTCCACACGAAACTAAGTGGAGCGTGTCCCACTAGCAGTGCTTGTATTGATGCTGATAGCAGTATACCATGGGTAGCTATCCCACAGTGCAGCTCGCCATGGGGTTTTGGGAAGGGCTTTCAATGACTCATGGAACCAAAACATTTTCATGGGGGAACTGGGATCCTGGCTTCAGCGTCCCATGGTGCATCCTCCTCCCCCGCATCTCAACTGCAACTGATAACATTTCATGCCTTTTTTCAAAACACTGACAAAGCTGCATGTGCGCCATCTCCTGAGAAGCCTGGATCCCGCTCAGCAGTGACTATTGTGAGCATTACAAACACCACGCGCCTTATCTTGCAGTATTTTCAGAGCGACGAGAGGAGCCGCTGAATGGAACATGGCAATGTCCTTCAAGCAGCCATGCTGGAAGCCATAGAACGAAACAATTCCCGATTGCTGCTGGCAGTCGTACAGCAGCTGAACACAATGGAGCGTCGTTTCTGACCCAGAAACAAGCGCTGACTGGTGGGATCACTTTGTTATGTAGTTATGGGATGACTATCAGTGGCTGCAGAACTTTGTATGTGCAAGGCCGCTTTCCAGGAGCTGCGTGCGGGGCTCCCAACAGCCCTGCAGCACAGCAACACTAAAATGAGATGTGCTCTGACAGAGAAAAAGCAAGTGGCAATCACTGTGTGGAAGCTTGCAATGCCAGACTTTTACCGGTCAGTAGGGAATCAATTTTGATTTGGTAAATCCACGGTGGGGACTGTTGTGATCCAAATATTCAGGGCCATTAATTGCATGTTTTGTTGAGGGTAGTGAGTCCCTTGGCAATATGCAGGACGTATTGGATGGTTTTGCTGCAGTGGGGTTCCCTAGCTGCAGTAGGGCAATAGGGATATGCATGCCATCTATCTTGGCACCAGACCACCTTGCCAAAGAGTACATAAACAGAAAAGGGTACTTTTCTCCCAAATCCTGCTGAAGCCCTGAGCCCCGGCAGGCATGCCCCTTGGGGCTGAAGCCCTGAGCAGGCACCTACTGTGAGGCTGAAAGCCCAAGACACCCCTCCCTATTTGGCAGAAGCCAGAGGTGACACATGGAGAGGGGCACGTGGAGTCACGTGCCCCCCCAGATTTTTGCCAGGGTTTGCTGGACCTGCTTGGTCACCTGGTGCTACCAGGCCCCCTACCTGCATGGCAGCTGCGGGAGCTGGCAAACTGGGAGCTGCATCTGTGGGCAGAAGCAGCAGCAAATAGCAGGGAACTGCACGGAGAGCTGTTGTTTGTTGCTGTCTCTCCCCACGGAGCTAAAGCAGCGACCCCTCCCGACAGCTCCCAGAAAAAAGCATAATGTGGGAATCACGTGCACTATTGTTTGCAGTCCGAGTAATTGAAATGAAAACTGCCACCATCTCCCCTAGGTGACCTTAGCTGATATCATCCTCCTGAGGGTAGCAGAGGCAGCAAGGGAACAGATGCTGCAATGATGCCAGCAGAAGTAATATTGGAGTGGTGTGGGAAAGTGCCCTACTGTGGTGGAAGAAATAAGCCCCCCCCCGGCCCCCCCCCGAAACCTTCTGCAACAGATTGCAGAGTACCTCCATGAATCTTTCCTGGAGATCTCTATGGAGGATTCCCAGGCCATCCCTCTGCACATAAACAGTTTTATCCATGGGGCTCCCTCTGCCTAGCTGGTGCAGCCACTGGGAAGCAGATAGCCACTGTTCCTCATCATTTAAAAAAAAAAATAAACAAGAGTATAAGAACATGTGACCCCAAAATATTAGCTGGAGTTGCATACTCACCAGAGATGCCTTCCCCCGGCATCAAACTTGACCACGATGCTGTTCTGTGACTGGCTGGATCGTTCCTGGGTTTCAAACAGCTCCTGGCTTTCTGGGAGAATGGATCCGCTACTCACTTGTTTCCCATTCTCCTCTTCCTCATCCTAGTCCAAGACCAACTCAGTGTTGCCTGTGGTGGCCTAGGACTCCGATTCCTCAGAGGTATCCAGGCTGCTATTGGGGTCGTTGATGGGAATTGCACGTAGGTTATTTTAGAAGTGGCATGTCTGCGCTGCAAAACCAGAATGACTGTTTCTCTCTTTTCTTCTGGTATGCCTGCTGAAGCTCTTTAATTTTCACGCAGAACTGCTGCATGTCCCTAGTGTAGCCCTTGTCCCCAGTGCCACACGCAATCTTTTCATAGGTGTCTACATTTCTACGGCTGGATCGGAGCTGTGCCTCTACAGACTCCTCGTCACACAGACCAATAAGATCCACCACCTCCTGTGTACTCCAGACTGGAGCGCGTTTGGGACGTTGAATCACCATGATCCACTTGGCTGGTGAGCTCTCCATGCTGAACAGACAGGAAATGGGAATTCAAAAGTTCTTGGTGCTTTAACAGGAGAGGTGCTGTTTCCTGTGTACCTAGCTGTTGAGCAACAAAGTTGAAAATGTTCACCAGAACAGTCACAGTGGAGTATTGTGGGATACCTCATGGACGCCAGTAAAGTCGACGTAAGCAACACTGTCTACGCTGCCTCTTCGTCGACCTAACATTGATTTAAGCACTACGCCCCCTGCAGAGATGGGAGTAGTTAAGTCAATGAAGCAGGCAAGTTACATAAGCAGAATAGACCTGGTAGTGTAGACACAAACTTTTTGATCGATGTAAGCTGCCTTCAACCAACCTAACTGTGTAGTGTAGACCAGGCATAAAAGGTTAACAGGTCTGTTAACGCTTCTCCCCAGAACAAGGGTGAGGCAACCACTTGGATTTATGAATCCAGGCAGCCATCTTACAAAGTAATTTTTGCTCACTGCTGCCTTCAGCTTTAACAGAACCAGTAACATATTGCCGAAAGGCTCTGGTAATGTAAGGAGGGAAAGATGCATCAAAATGAAGTGGAAGTTTGTGGGTGTTCAGAATAAAGAGGATCTTTGAGAACCTGAATTATACCACTTAGACTCAAGTGTTCTTTTGAAGCATTGGTAGGGAGGTGAAATTGGTGTGTGTTCCTTGTCAGAATTATGGGGAGCTGTCATATTTGGATATCTTGGAAGTAATTATCACTTTAAAATGAAAAACTCTCAGACTTTGTCACACTTTTGTCAACGTGTGTTTTTGTATTTTATTATTTGTGTTAATACAAAACAAATGTTTAGATCCAAAATCATCAATAGAATACATGGGATGTAATATGCAAAAATTACAAATACATTTTAAAATTAAATTGAAAAGTGCTTTTACCCTTGCCTCCTACAAGGGTTCTTATACCATGCTTATTACCATAATATCTTAGCACCTGAATCTTGAGTTCAGGGTTCTATGTTTCTTCTATAACATTAAATAACAGTACAAGCACCTTCAACCTTGTAAGCAGTGGAGGTCCCTGCCCCACTTTTTAAATATGTGTAATGTTATCCTTTGGAACAGTTGACATTCAGAACTGGAATTCAGGTCCTGAAAGGTTTTTCACTTTTCAAGTCCTAATTTTAACTATTTGTCAACATTAAGCTTATGCATGTGTCCTATTAATTTAAGATCCTAAACAGTCTCTTAAATTTATTTATAGAAGCATTTTGTTCACCTTTACATCTAAAATAAATCTTAACTGAAAGCAAAGAATCCTATTAGGAAAAGTAATGATGCTTAAATTCTCACTGTGTTTCTTCCTCAGTGTATTGAGACGTACTGTCACCCTTATTACTCAGTTGGCAAAAGAGATGGGAATTCAGGTAGCTATGGAAATTCAAGTAGCAAATACTAATGAAGCTGCCAGAAAATACATGGAGGAGAATGAAAAATTGCAACAGGTATCTTAATTACCTTTTTAATTATCTTTTTTTAAAAGGAAATAATTACAGCAAAAACTGTATAAGCTGTAAGACCTATAGGGTATGTCTACACTGCAGACACCCATGGCTGGCCCATGCCAACTGACTCATGCTCGTGTGGCTCAGCCTAAGGGGTTACAGTCCTAAAGCCCAGACTCCAGCCTGAGCCCTAAAGTCTACACTGCAGTTAAATAGCCCCTTTGGGCTCCTCTCAGTTGTGGAGCTGCTTTCTGGGTGGGTTCGCCAAACATGAAAACCATTCTTCTGCATAGTTCAGCCCACTAACTACCCATCATTTGTATGGCTCCGTGCTATGATGCCAAAATGTTAATAAGGGTTCTTTGTCTCAAAAACTTTCTATTTCAGTCAGTGATGCGTTCCCTGGGTAAGTGCTCTCTTCTTAGTCTCCATAGGCTTGTGTAGTGTTTCAGAGCATGTTTGCCCCTACCCTGGCTTTTAGGTACCAGCAGGAGGGGATGAGCTGCATAGGTTTCAAGATTTCCACTCAGTTTATGGCAGTTGTTTGACCCTACCACTGTGGTTACCTCCTCATGCTTCTAGAACAGTGGTCTCCTAATTGTGGGACATGCCCCTCAAGGGGGACACGGACAAATGTTCGTGGGTGGGGGTGGGGCACATGGTGGGGCCCGGGCCAGCCCCCACAGAGGTCAGGGAGAGGGAACCATGCTTTCAGCCCCACTCTGCCCCCAGGCGCAGTTCCACCCCTAGACCATCTCTGCCCTCATTCCCTCTCTGTCCCCAGGCCAGCTCCATCTCAAGCCCCAGCTCCTACCCCATCTCCAGTTCTGCCCCCAACTCTGCCTTCAGCCCAAGTTCTGCTGCTGAGGAAGCCTTAGCTGTGCTGTAATGGAAGGGGTCATGGATGGATTCCCTTACTGGTAAGGGGGGGTGGAACTGTAAGAGTTTGCGCCCCACTGTTCTAGAACAACGTGCAAGAGGGGGATGTGCTGGAACTATGAGTTTCATCCCCTATGATTTTAATTAAAAAAAAAAATCTAATTACTGTGATACTATTGGATATCACAGGTTCAACTGAATTGGAATGCATGGAAGACCTCCAAGGAACAATTAAAGGCTATAGGAAATGGTGTAGGTGATTCTGTAGATGGCATTATTTCCTGTCAGTATTGAGCTAGGTAGAGGGACTATTATGTTGATGGAAGTGCCATGTTTCACAAAAATAGAGAAATGAGATCCTGACCACTTGTGATCATGAAAAGAGTATTTGGATCTTTACTGGTAGCAGAACCTCTACTCTTAATCTGGCCAAATTCCAGTTTAGACAGTTATATTCTCTCTACTTAAATTTCTTCTGCAGTTGAATTTTACTAAATTTGTATGGGGTTTTTTACTGTTTTTTTTTTTTTAAACTCCTTTATGCATTGTGGTGTTACATTAAATGTTTATATCACCCCAAAGGTGGTTATATTTTAGTAGTGGCTGATGTGATTGATATCTCTAGTTCGCATTTCTTTCTGCACAGGATTTTTGAAACACACATTTATATAGCACTCTTCTTAAAAGCTGTTGTTCACTCATAAGAACAGCCATATTGGGTCAGACCAAAGGTCCATCTAGCCCAGTATCCTGTCTTCCAGCAGTGGCCAGTGCCAGGTGCCCCAGATGGAATGAACAGAACAAATAATCATCAAGTGATCCATCCTCTGTTGCCCATTTCCAGTTTCTGGCAAACAGAGGCTAGGGACACCATCCCTGCCCATCCTGGCTAATAGCCATTGATGGACCTATCCTCTATGAACTTATCTAGTTCTTTTTTTAAACTCTGTTCTAGTCTTGGCCTTCACAACATCCTCTGGCAAGGAGTTCCACAGCTTGACTGCATTGTGTGAAAAAAATACTTCCTTTTGTTTGTTTTTAAATCTGCTGCTTATTAATTTCATTTGGTGACCCCAAATGAACCCCTAGTTCTTGTGTTATGAGGAGTAAATAACACTTCCTTATTTACTTTCTCCACACCAGTCATGATTTTATAGTCCTTTATCATATCACCCCTTACTTGTCTCTTTTCCAAGCTGAAAAGTCTGAGTCTTATTAATCTCTCCTTATATGGCAGCCATTCCATACCCCTAATCATTTTTTGATGCCCTTTTCTGAATCTTTTCCAATTCAATAATTTTTTTTGAGATGGGGCAACCACATCTGTGACCACATCTGCATGCTGTATTCAAGATGTGGGCGTACCATGGACTTATATAGAGGCAATATGATATTTTCTATCTTATTATCTTCCTTTCTTAATAATTCCCTACATTGTGTTAACTTTTTTGACTGCCGCTGCACATTGAGTGGACGTTTTTAGAGAACTATCCACAATGACTCCAAGATCTCTCTCTTGAGTGGTAAGAGCTAATTTAGACCACATCATTTTATATGTATAGTTGGGATTATGTTTTCCAATGTGCATTACTTTACATTGATCAACATTGAATTTCATCTGCCAATTTGTTGCCCGGTATTGTGAGATCCTTTTGTAGCTCTTTGCGGTCTGCTTTTGACTTAACTATCTTGAGTAGTTTTGTATCATCTGCAAATTTTACCCCCTCACTGTTTACTCCTTTTTCCAGATCATTTATGAATATGTTGAATAGGACTGGTCCCAGTACAGACCCCCGGGGGACTCCACTGCTTACCACTCTCCATTCTGAAAATTGACCATTTGTTCCGACCCTTTGTTTCCTATCTTTTAACCAATTACCAATCCATGAGCAGACCTTCCCTCTTACCCCATGAAAGCTTACTTTGCTTAAGAGTCTTTGGTGAGGGACCTTGTCAAAGGCGTTCTGAAAATCTAAATACATTATATCCACTGGATCCCCTTTGTCCATATGCTTGTTGACCCCCTCAAAAAATTCTAGTAGATTGAGGCATGATTTCCCTTTACAAAAACCATGTTGACTCTTCCCCAACAAATTCTGTTCATCTATGTGCCTGACAATTTTGTTCTTTACTATAGTCTCAACCATTTTGCCCGGTCCTGAAGTCAGGCTTACCAGCCTATAATTGTCAGGATCATATCTGAAGCAATTAGATTACATCCACAGTTAGTAGTTCTGCAATTTCACATAAGAGTTCCTTCAAAACTCTTGGGTGAATACCATCTGGTCCTGGTGACTTATTACTGTTTCATTTATCAGTTTGTTCCAAAACCTCCTCTAATGACACCTCAATCTGGGGCAGTTCCTCAGATTTGTCACCTAAAAAGAATGGCTCAGGTTTGGGAATCTCCCTTACCTCCTCAGCAGTGAAGACCATCTGAAAGGATTAATTTAGTTTCTCTGCAGTGGCCTTATCAACTTCCAGGGTGCCCAACACTTTGCTTGAATGAGCTCATGTAATAGCATGAATTGATTTAAATCAAAGGATTTAAATAACCGATTTTAATAATGATTTAAATAATAAATTTTAATAGTGTTTGCTCATTTTAATCATACTTTTAAGTTATTTCCTAACAAAGTTGATTCTCATTGGTTGGTAACCATTAAAACATGTTGATGTGCAACTAAAGATAGCCTTTACACTAAATTTGATGTTTCTTTTTGCTAACAATACACTTATTTAAGCAATTATATCGCTTAATTTATATTTAGGTTAATGATTTATGCATTTATTTTTTACCAGATGAATTTTTATTTGTGATTTGTGTTAAGCTCTATTTGGATGGAAGTTCAAAGTTGATTAAAATGCACAAAAACAGAATTTAATTATTTTATTAAATCTACCTTTAAATATGCTGGATACACTATTTTTATGTATCAAAACATGGTTTGCCTTTCAAACTAATTTATTAAACAAAGGAAATATCTGTAGTTAGTAAATTGAACTGATTAATTCTGGTCACCATGTCTTTCAGAGTTTTAGAACTTGTAAATCTCATCCTCTCACACTTTGTTTTCATTCATAGATTGGACGAGAAAAAGAAGTTTCATGCTTTTTCAGCTCCCAGTTGGTTTCCTAACTCTGAATGAACTAGTCATTGAACTGAACTAGTTCAATAAACTGAAATGGGGAAAATGGTCTTTCTGCACTTGCAGAAGAGGCCACTGCTATCAAAAGCTGGCTTAGCACTTCAGCAAGCTGTGATTCCAAGTTGCTTAGCCAGTGACTTCCACCAGTTCAGTAGTTTGACTTTCATTAAAGCTTGGCAGCAAATACAGATTGCTTAATTGTATTTTTTAGTATTTAAATTATTTTAATTCATTAAGTTTAGGCCTTCACATAGATTAATTTCAAATTTCATTGTAAATATATTCATTTTTTAAAAAGAGATCAGTTTTCAATTTAAATAAAAATCCAATTTAAACTAAAACTAATTTTTATTTTTTCTTAATTTTTTTAATCCACCATGTCATATAATCACTTACACAAACATCTAGTATTATGTTAGCTATTGGCATGGTAGCTACTTTCATTATGGCTGTTACCTGGGGATTAGCTAATTTGTTTTTACACTTACAATTTAAACTTTTCAAAAAATATTGTTTTAGGAAAAGTAGAAACAAAAGGTTTAAAATTTGCCATTTGAAGTAATCCTCTGGCTGGTTCAATACGCAGTATTGTTAAGGAAGGAAAATTAATTTCATCAGTATTGTGTAACATAAGGAATTTTGCCTGGCACTAACTAGTTGGATCTTTGTAGGAAAAAGTCAAAAATACAAATTTTGGCAGTTTTGTTTCACAACTGAGATTCTGTTCAATAAAACACATTATCAAAATAAAGTTATCTAGAGGTGTGTTCAAGTGTACCTTCAGTGTAAGTAGGTGGTAACAGCTTGTGGAGCCAGGAACCATAACTGTTTTACTGGTAATTCGGGTAGGTGTCTTGTAAGGAAATAAGGTCAGTAGAGTGGATTGTAGGCAAGTCCTTTTGTGTAGTCCATGGTTGTGTGTGTTCATGGAATTTGGCATGTTGCCAAACTGCCACAATCCCGTGTTTTGGCTGCGATATTTGCCATTTTGCTCTAGCCAGACGCCTGACATCTTGCATTTTCTGTCCTGCTGGGTTGTGGCTGCAGCTTCATCTTCCTCTTTCTGTGCTGCTTTCACTACAAAGGGGACTGTGTTACATAAGAAGTACATTCTCCCCTCTTGCGAATAACAGAGTCAGAAAGCAGAGTAGCCCTCCTGGCTCTCAGGATCTTCCTTGCATATCTGTGGAGTGGGGTGTGTGTGTGCCCTGAGGGGAGAACTGTGGCAGCCAAGGGCCACGCTGGTGGGTTGCAGGTGCCAGGCAGAGCTCCATCCCGCTTGGGATGCAAAGCGTACTGACTACTCCAACATTTTATTTGGTAGCTCCTCTTTCACCCGTCTTGGATGATTTCCCAAGATTTTTATCAAGGGCCTTTGCTCTTTCTCCTGAATAGTCTGAGCAATCTCATTTGATCTCATGAGTTCAGCTCTTTTTCCTATGTACTTGACTCTTGTATCTACCTCTTTACTTTTGAATGATCTCCTCCACCCTCTGTCGCTCAGCACAAGAAAATGTGTTGCTCCTTTTCTTCACCTAGAAGCTTGCCTCTTCTCCTGCTCTCCTTAAATGGGACAGTTCACGTTCATGTGTTTGATGTGGGAGGTCAGATGAGCAGAGGATTGAATTTCTTTGAAGGGAGAATACTGGGGAGGGAGGAGTACGCGCATGGGAAAGGAAGTTGCAGGAGAAATGAGGAAAAAGTCACAAGAAACAGTGACTAATCCTGGATATTTTATCATTTGGTAATTAAGGCACAACTGTTTAATTGCTTGAAATGAAAAGATTCATAATAGCAAGTACAGTAAGTACATAACTTTTATTTAGTGCCTAATACGGCTTTTGGGGGGACTTCCAGGTGCTTAGCATTTCTGGAAATCAGATAAAACTGTATTTAAGTACCTAAACATCTTATAAATATAAAAGGTTAAGTGATGACTTGATCACAAAATACAAATATTACAAGGGGAAGAGATTTCTGATAATAGATAATTATTTTATCTGGCAGATAAATGTTTGGAAGCTGCCCCTGGACAAATTCAGAGTAGAAATAAAGGTACAATTTAACAGTGAAGGTAGCTAACCATTGGAGAAGATGTGGTAGATTCTCTATCACTTGCGGTCTTTAAATCAAGACTGGATATTTTTTTTTTTCCCAAAGAGATGCTATAGTTTAAACACATTATGGGTTTGATGCTGAAATTATTAGGTGAAGTTCTTTGGCCTATGTTATGCAGGAGGTTATAATAGACAATCCTAATGGTCCTCTTCAACCTTAAATGTTATCACTATATTTATGGATGCATCTGTTTGGGGTGGGTTTTTTCCCCCCCCAGAGGTGCTAATCTTTTCTTGCTTCTTTTTGACATCAGTGTGAATTGAAGACATCCAGCACAATATAGGATCAGGGCCAATGTTGTTTAGTCATTTGTATTAGTATCGAGCAGTAATTTAAACTAATACTAACTATATCCACAATTTTTTTTGATAGGCGTTGAATGAAAAAGGGAAGTGTGAAAATGAACAGGCACTAGAAGAAGACAATAAAAAACTGAGGCAAGAAACTGAAAAACTGAAAGCGGAATTAAAGAAAACTTTGAATGGTAACTTTTTTTTTAATTGCTTTCTTTTTAATGAGAATGACTTGGCATTCTATGCCTCAAAGCTTAGCAGTTTGGTCCTTAAATTCAATAGTCTAAGAAATGTCCTAACAAAAATATCAGATTCCTCATATTTATATGTTCAAGTAATTTTGATTTTATTTCCTTTTTAAAAAAAATAAATTAAGCTCACTTGATCAAATAATCCCTGGTGTAAGTCAGGTGAACTCCACTTACTTAAATGGAATTTTGAGACCTTTGTAAGCAGGTGCTTTTGGGCCAGTATTTCAGGTACAGTCAATGTCACTTTGTCTTACAGTAAACATGTGTTATGCAAAGTTGTACATTGTAAACAATTATAATGTAACTAAGGCACTAGAATTATAACCTTGAGCTGTTTTAATTCAGTGGGGTAGGTCTTGATATCAGTTTTATACTGTATAAGAATGCACTTTACAGGTACCAAGATGACCTTTCACATCTTGTAATACATAACTAGGCTTGGAAAATTGTGATCTTTACTTTAAAATTTTGGTGGATAGTATTGATGATTTTAAAGCATTTTTCTGTTATCAATTTAAATTTTCACTTGTCCTATGCTGGATGGTGAAAGCATAGGGCTGTAACGCCAGGTACCAGTGCATTAGTCTAATGTTGTTGTTTTTCATTCTGGTTAACCACTGGAGTGGGGCATGGTCCATGACTAGTGTAAATGGGCCCCCGAGGAGGTAGTACCGCAGGGCATCACAGGCCCATTTCACTGTTAGTGCTGCTTTCTCTATTACTGGGTAGTTATTCTCATGGGGGAATAATTTCCAGCTAAAATATAAGACCAGGTGGTCTTCTGTCGATTTCTTGGGAAAGGACAGCCCCGAGCCCTACCTCTAAGGCCTCCGTGTGGAGGATGAAGTCACAGTCGAAGTCCAGGCTATATAGGACTGGCACCTGGCAGAGGCACTCCTTGAGTGTCCGGAAGATGTCTTCGCATTCTTGGGTCCACGGCACGTGCCGGGGGCTGTCCTTAGTCAAAAGTCCCGTCATGGGGCCTGCAATGGAAGCGAACTGGAGAATGACTTGCCGATAGTAGCCAGCGAGCCCAGGAATTGTCGCACTTGGTGTTTCATGGTGGGCAGGCCGCCAGTGCTTGAACCTTCCCCACGCGGAGTTTCACCCGTTCTCTCCCTATGGCGTATCCAAGGTACGTTGCCTCTTGCTAGCCAATGCTACATTTTTTGGATTGGCCGTTAGTGCCGCCTTTCGCAGGGATCTCAGGACCGCAGTTACCCATTCCAGGTGGTCCTCCCACTGGTGGCTGTAGACTACGACATCATCCAAATACGCCGCTGCATAGTCTTGATGGGGCCATAGGAGGCGGTCCATTAGTTGTTGGAATGTCGCCGGGACCCCATGGAGGCCGAAGGGCATCCAGGTAAATTGGTAAAGTCCCGTTGGGGTGGTGAACGCCATCTTCTCCTTAGAGATGGGGTTGAGCGGGATCTGCCAGTATCCCTTACTGAGGTCGAGGGTGGTGATGAAATGGGCCTCCCCTAGGCAGCCAAGCAGTTCATCCACATGGGGCATAAGATATGCATCAAACCTTGAGATGGCATTGACCCACCAGAAGTCTATACAGAAGCGCTGTGTTCTATCAGGCTTGGGTACCAAGACCACTGGACTGCGCCACTCACTCTGCCATGGCTCGATGACTCCTCGGGCTAGCATGGCCTGTACTTCCTCCTTGACCTCCTGCCGCATTCGGTGCAGCAGGGGCCTAGTTGTCTCCCGGACTACCTTCCCTGGTTCAGTCTGATTGGCATGATGGACCAGGGTCGGGTAACCGGGAAGGACCATAAAAGTTCTCCTGAAAGCCTGCAGGAGATATTGGACTTGCTTTCGCTGCTCCTCCATGAGCATGTCGCTGAGCTGGTGGCCTGCAGGGCCCTCTGTCAGGGGCATGCAGGGACCCAACTCAGGTTCTAGCAGGTAAGGGTTAATAGGCCCTCCCACCACGTCAATAGATTCACGTGATATCACTGGGTCATCTTGCGCCAGTCGGACTGGTGGACCTCACAGGTGACGGGCCCGACCTTCCGGACCACCTCATAGGGTCCCTGCCAGCAGCTTCGATTCGCTCAACAGTAGGAGGAGCAGGACCCGATCATTGGGCTCAAAGACACGGACCCGCGCTTCCTGGTTATAGGTTCGTTCCTGGGTTTCCTCTGCAGCTTTTAAGTTTTCGCATGCTAGGGCTCCGGCCTGAGTGAAGTGCTCCTGGAGCTGGAGAACGTACTTCAGGAAGCCCTGGGTTGGCGATGGAGACTGCTCCCATGTCTCCCACATTAAGTCTAATAGGCCCCACGGGCGGTGGCCATATAGTAGCTCGAACGGGGGAAAATTTTGTTGATGACTGGGGTACCTAGCAGATTGCCAGCAGTAAGGGTGGGAGTAGCTGGTCCCACCAGTGTAGCTCCTCTGGGGAGTACTTGCGCAGCATTTCCTTCAGGGTCCAATTGAATCGTTCCACCAGCCGGTCAGTCTGTGGGTGGTAGACGGAGGTGCATAACTGTTTAACTCCCAGGAGCTCGCATACCTGCTGCAACAGTCGGGAGGTGAAGTTGGTGTCCTGGTCCGTTAGGATTTCCCGGGGCAGGTGCACTCGAGCAAAGACCTTCACTAGTTTGCTGGCAATGGTTTGGTTGGTGGTGCTCCGCAATGGCACGGCCTCAGGAAAACGGGTGGCATAATCAACTATGACCAACACATACTGGAATCCCATGGCACTTCTCGGGAGCGGATTCACGAGGTCCATGGCCACCCGCTCAAATGGCATCTCCACTATGGGCATGGGAACCAAAGGGTCCTTGGGTACCCCTGGGGGAGCCACTAATTGGCACTCCGGGCAGGAGCTACAATAGTTTCTCACCTCCTGGTGAATGCCGGGCCAGAAGAACCGCGTCAAAATCCGGGCGAGGGTCTTTTCATGGCCCAAGTGCCCTGCGGCAGGGATGTCATGTGCAAGCTTCATTACTGCTCGGCTGTGGCACCAGCAGCTGGGTCCATGGTTCTTCCGTGCGGGGTTTCCATTCCACCCCAGTAAAAACTGTCATGGCATAGCTCAGAACGGGGCCCTGATTTGTGCTATGCAGGTCAATCATGGCCCCATCGACAGCGACTGGTTGTCTGTAGGCGCCACTAAGGGTGGTGTCTACTCTTTGATTGCAGCAAAAATTGGTATTAAGTCAGGGTTCGACAGCCAGCCTAGGCGGGGGGTCCACAGGTTCCTCAGTCCCTCCCTCAGGTTCCGGGTCCACCTCCTCCTCCTCCAGTTGGACCTTGGGGCAATCCCCTTCCAGTGCAGGGGTCGAGCGGAGGATCTCCTTGAACGCCAGCCAGTCACACCCCAGAATCACCAGGTAGGCTAATTGAGGGGCCAGGCTGACGATCATCCGTCGTGTGACCCTGGCTACCGTTTGTGGGATCTGGGCACTGGGGTAGGGCCGCACGTCGCCATGGATGCATTGCAGACGGATCGTCCCCAGGTGGGGGTCGGCCCAGGGCCCAAGGTCTGATGGATTAGCGTCTGGCCACAGCCCAAATCAGTCAGGGCCAGGGTTGCGTGGTCCCCGACAACTACTGGAACCATGATCTTGGGGACCTGTGGCAGCCGGGCCCAGGTCTCTCCCACACAGATGTGGCCGAAGCTGCATTCCATCTCAGTGCAGTCACACTAGAAGTATTCATATTTCCCACATAAAAAACAGGGCCCAAGTTCTGGGTGACCATCCCGGGTGGGGGCTCCCATCAGGCCCCTGGGGGGACTCAGATTGGTCCTCGGGACACTCGGCATGGGGGGATGGCACAGATCCTTGTTGAGGTGGGAGTTCAGGGCATCTGGCCCGGAGCGAGCCTCTTGCCTGCGGGAGAGACTCCGAACTTTGGTCTGAGCCCCCTTTCTTTTCAGGATTAGGGCACTCTGGCCCTGGGGGGTGGGCTCTGGTAGCTGGCCCCACCAGCGCTTCGGCCACGAGGAAGTCTTCCATCAAGGCAGCGGCTAGCATTGCTGGCTGATGGCGAAGCATCCAGACCCTTCCTCGTGCCAGGAAGATGTAGACTAACTGTTCTAAAATAATTTGTTCTGTGACCTCGTCCATGGTCCTCCTCTCCGGCTGTAGTCACCGCTTACATGCTTCCTTCAACTCTTGGGCCACCAACCAGAATCTGGTGCCTGTGGGGTAGGTTTGGCTCCAGAACCACTGCCGAAAGGTTTCCGGGCTGACATCCAAGGCGTCCGGGATTGCTGCTTTTACCTTGCTATAGTCCCTTGCATCCTCCATAGACAGCCAACTGTACACTGTTTGGGCTGTCCTGGTTAACTATGGGGCCAAGAGAGTGGCCCGTTTGGTCAGGAGCCCACCCGAAACCAGCGCCACTCTTTCAAAAACTACCAAAAAGGCTTCAGAGTTGTCATCGGGTCCCATCTTAGTCAGCCGCACCAGTGCAATGGTGCGGGGTGACGCAGCTGCGGCTGGGGCGCCGTGGGGCGAGGCAGTACTATCGTCAGCTGCTGCAGGCATTGCCGCTGTTGTTCCTGGTTCTAAACCCCCAGGTCCCGAATCAGCTGCTGTTGCTGTCCTCTCAGCTGCTGGAGCTGGGCCACCTGCTGTCGCTGCTGGCTCTCGGTCAGGAGCTTGATGAGTTTGTCCATATCCATGGCTTTTTCTGGGGTACGTTCACCCTCCCCCCAGACCCTTTCTCACAGCAGTCGAGGGATCATGCCCACATTCTCCACCACATGTAGAGAGGTTAGCTGGGGCTCGTCTCTCTCCGGGGCAGCGGGGAACCACACCGCCTCACTAAATTCGGGAAGATGTCTTGTGGGGACATAATTCGGCTGCAGGAGTCTTCCTCTGCAGCCCTTGTGAGGGCAGAACTAAACACAGTAAGCCCAGGACCTAGGTCAGGGCAGGGCAATGGTGAGTCAGGCGCTCAGGCCCTCAGGCAGG